CCCTGTGAGTGACCGCGCTTGATTATTAGGTTTTTGATGCTCTTCAGCATCGAAAGCATTTGTTATTGTAATGTTTATTATTATGCTTATTCTACCTTTTTTTTAAAACTCTTCTTCTCGAAGACGGGTTGCCCACTTGACCTGATACTTTACAGACACAGTCTATATGCAATTTTCTAAAACGTCAAAGTTTCCGATGTGCCGCCATCTTGGATTGAGGGCGAAATTTTCAATGCCGAATTACACACTTTTCTGAGGGTCTGAGTGCTCCCAGTTTTTTATGGTAGTAGCAGTGGTACAAGCGCTACAAATTTCATTAAAAAAAACTTTAGCGGTCACGTGACTTTTTTTGCTAGAATTTTCTGAAATTTTGTTTTGCATCTCATTTGCATTAATTTTTACTAGTCAACTAACCCTGCATAGGTTTGAAAGATCGGGTACCATAGTATTTATTTTTCCAAACGGCTTCTCCAGGCGATGAGCCGTTTTTCAGAAAACGATTTTAGAATGTTTTTTCACATTTTTTTCTCAAATTATGCAAAACATCATGGGAAAGGGGGGAGGGCTCTAAACATTCTGTCTTGAATATCACAAGGACTATTGCAGATAGGTACATGTAACCAGTGCAATATTGAAGCTATGGGTCAAGAGATGTTAGTTACATATCGGATGACCATATATGGTCATGTGACCTCATTAAATATGCATAAGTGTAACATCTCAAGCACTGTTGCAGACAGGGACATGCAACCAGTGCAATATTGAAGCTATGGGACACGAGATGTGAGTTACATATTAGATGACCATATATGTTCATGTGACCTCATTAAGTATGCAAACCGTAATATCTCAAGCACTGTTACAGATAGGAATATCAAACCAGTGCAATATTGAAGTTATACGACAAGAGATGTTACTAACATATTAGATGACCATATATGGTCATGTGACTTCATTAAATATGCATGTATCTGATATCTCAAACACTATTGCAAGTACAAACATGGAACTAACGCTATATTGAAGGCAATGGGCAAAAGAATTGGCCAACATATTTGTTGACCATATATGGTCATAGAACTCATTAAATATGCATGTCTCTATTATCTCAAACACTATTGCATGTACAAACATAGAACTAACGCTATATTGAAGGCAATGGGCAAGAAAATTGGCCAACATATTTGTTGTCCATATATGGTCATAGATCTCATTAAAACAGCATATCTGTAATATATCAAGCACTATTACATGTATAGACATGGAACTAATGCTATATTGATGGCAATCCAAAGGAGAATTTGCCACCATAATCGGTGACCATATACATTCTGTTTGGTCATAGAACTCATTAAATGTAACCTGTTTGCCATATAGTGTGTTCAGTTCACCATGCTGTGACTAGATCAACATAAATTGTGATCAATTTGCCTACAGTGTATATAGTAAACGGTTCACAGTACATGTCTCCATTACCCTAGATATTACAGAAGTGTAATGTCATAACTATGTTGCATAAATGCAATTCGGTGCTAAAGCAGACATAGCATCGAAAGCCGGTAATCGCTGCTTGCAGCTGTATTTCTATTTATTACTATGTATACGCTTCAGAACTTTTCCGGGTAAAAAAAAACTGAGTCGAGTACCATATTGATGTTTTTGAACGTAACAGTAATTCAGAATGTTCATGCAACAAGTTACAGTTGCTTATGCCACTCATATATATATTTAATATTAATTTCCCTAAGTTTTGAGATTTTGAAACAGACAAATCAGCAAGTTCGCTATGCCAATAACTGTCAACTTATTACGAATCAAATATCTCTACAAAACCCAACCCATCAACGCTGGTGATTGTTACTTAATGATGTCATAGGATGTATTGGCCAATCATATTTCAGATGGGGCGGCACGTGGGGATGAACCTCAAAAAATATCGAACTGCCTTATCTCAAGGAAACTGAGATTTTTAGCTAATTGTAACAGAAAACATAATAAGCATGTTTGAACAAAATTCTAGCTAAATAACATCAGACATGAAAGAGAAATAATGTTATAGTCCCTTGTAGTACGCTGCCGTTAGATGGAACATGTAGTGTCATCGGTCTGTTTTGTGCATATTTAAAATACAAATGACTTGAAATGACGATAATGTTCACCTCGTAACTCAATGAAAGAATATAATGGACTGTAGAGTCCAATACAATTCTCAATCAGTGTACGAGTCCATATATGTACAAATCGGTTTTCATGAAGTACAATGTATAAATCAACTGCCGCATATGGGTCAGGTGGAAGATTGGTGTGATTATATATACAGATATTATATTTACAGGGGTTACGGACCCGACGAGTTCTGATGAACTATATTTGTAATAGTCAAAAAAAAGGAAAGTACTCTAGGTAGAATTCATTTATATATATTTACTACCTGTACAGTTTCTATATTTAATGTTGTTTTCAAATCATTCATTTCAGCATACGTGCACACACTGTTATACGCTCACTCGTAACGCGGGATCTCTATTTAGTATATCGTACCAGAACTAGGTAACGAACATGGTGAAGTGTACCATAATCCATATTTCAGTCAATGCGATTAACAAATATGGAACATACGGGAACAGCCATCGTTGCTACCACGGTGACAACTACTTGAACACAGGTTATCACTGTGATCGTATACAGCTTTAACTCTGTTCACCACTGCAACCACAGATGTAACGATTTAACAATATTAACACAATCATTGGTTTTAACAGATAAACTACCATTTGTCACTCAAACTTAGTTTATATATTATTACAAATACAAACATGATCCGAATTATGATTTCTTTTTTAGTGAACTGTGTGTGTACAAAACCCGGGAAAACTGCATAATAGAGAATTCTTCATAAACAAGTGCCCATTATTCATCACGTTTTCAATCGCTGCTGTTGCAAATACAAATATTTGCTCCGTGGAAATATTTGTTATATTTAAATATGTGAGTAGCTCAAATTTGGACAACGGAATTGTGTCTCGTTGTCATGGATTATTTTTACATTTATGAATCTGACATTATTTAAGTGCCGTTGTAATCACTACCGACAAAACACAATATTGTTGGTTCATTCGCCATATGTATAACCAGCTAAGGAAACTAAATGTGATTTTCCCAAAAAAAGAGTGCCATCAACGATAGAAATATATAGATTTATGCAAACATTGAACTCTTACTTCAAACCACAGCATGTTTAACAAACCTTAATGGTGCAACTAACAAAGTCACAGTTTTGATTACCATGCAATAAAGAAAATAAATGAAATTTAAACATTGAGGATCTGCATGCAAGAAGAAAACATATTTTGATGCGTTTCTGAAGAGTTCTTCTTGTAATGCTTTTCTTTTGAATATTTAAAAATGTAAAATACCCGGTGGTCGTTTTTTTTTTATTGCGGACTTCCTCCATAGCAGAAGGATTTAACCTTTTGCAAGGTTATTCACTATGCGACTTATGGGGTGCCGGGTGTGCTTTTATATATTGTGTTTTTTATGGCTTTAGCTTATTATAAAAGTATTAACCATTTTTCATTATTAATAAATAATGACATATCAAATCTTGTTAGTGTATATCAAAGTGTATAAATAATCGACGACTTTAACTTTATTTGCAAATCATGGACGTTGGTAGCGTTTCCGCTATTTATACATGCCAGACTTGTATAAGGTATTTAAATCCAAATAATTGAATGTTTACAAAAAGAACAGGTCCTTTCTTCATATGTAAACACAGTGACCCCATCCTCCTTTCCCGAAATAGCTTTTGATTTATGTTGTCTATTACTTAGTTTACTATAGATAAAGTTGATGTGACTTGTCTCCATTTTCCTGCTCTTCTCCCTGGTGTGTTGTATATCTATCGATGGCCTGTTATCTCTGAATGTGCTCTGCTACTTTTTTTTCTGCATATCATATTTTTCAGCTTTTCCTAAAACATCACACTTCTCACCCTTCCTGGATAAACTGTGATGTTGCAAGTATTTGTCAAGCTTAGATATCGTCCAATCAGCCAATCAGAAAATATTCACGCAAATGAAATGCTGGTATAATATAACATGTATTAGTAGTCTTTAGGTAATTTGTGTGCGCTATACATTAAGTTTGAGACCGGGACTCAGCTGTGAGTTGGTGATAATTAGTAATATTTTCAGTTTTGTGGCCTATCCCGTTGAGTGTTATTTATTTCTTATAATATGCGATGTTCTAGACTCATTTTGTTTGTTGCAATTGTAACTTTAATTTTTGTAAGAGAGCCTTTTCACAGATTTTCTGTAAGTTGGAAACACGTCTTGATGCAAAGTAATAGTTCATTTTTTTTATTATTTATTTCTTGTTTTTGATGACATTAGATGGAAAAAAGTCGTGTAGTTCCATTAACAGTTTTTATATGTCGCAAATGAACCAAGTATACTGTGTTTCGTTGTTTGTGATACAATGGCGCCCAAATAACGTCAGATTCATAAATAAGACGATATATATGAAGATAATCCATAATAACGAGGGGCTAATCTGTTAATTAAATTTAAGCTACTCACGAGGCAAATATTTGTATTTGTAACAGCTGCGAAAATGTGATAAATAGTAAAACCACATTGGTCAACTGAGTGATGCTTGGCAACGTGGAATTTGATGTATTCCGAGTATTTTACACACTTCTACATAGGTTACTATGAAATGAATGAAATGAAATATTTTGAAATTTACAGAACATTCTCTATTACTTATATAGGGTATTTGTATCATACAATAGACCAAGTTTGAGTGACGAACTGTAATTCATCCACCCCACCCACTAGTGTTGCTCATTGTGTTGATGAGGAAACTGACTCGTGAAACGACGCCATGCCAGTTTATGAGTACTTTATTTGGAAAGCAGGTCAATGACTTTAGTTAAACATACACGTACACTTTTACCAATATCTTTCGTGAACAATTACATAATATCGTATTTTTTTCTAAGCCAGGCTGATCAGTTTACTGATATGTGGTGACGTCACAAGCGACAATGAATCATTACGTTGTTGGATTTCATTCTGAACTTTCACATAGCCTAGCTTTTCAAATATGTCGTCAGGACAGTTATTTTGCGCAATGTGTGTTTGGTTGAAAGGTAAACTGTACCGCCATGCATCTGTATGTCCTGTGCCTAATCTCTCGCTCTTTATAATTGTATCATTCGATGGCAAACCTACAAATTCGTACATCTTCGGTACGATTTGGCGCGGTTTTGTACTCAGGTCCTCGTATCGCACGATCATATAGTTTTTCTTTAACCATTCCGGACCGACCAGAACAGCATTTATATTTGTGTTTAACCATATACAGTAATTTTTACTAGCCTCACTGATTTTTTTCATGCTTAGCCCCTTTTTTTCTTGCGAATCTAAGTTTTCAAACTTTATTCTCGAGTTTATCATTCCCCGGGGATCTCTAACAACTTGAATGACTTTCACGTTGTACTGTTTTAATATTTCCAAGCCTTTGGAAATATCATTTATCCGCACCGTCTTCACCACACGATGAGTCTTTGTCTTGCATTTTTTAGATATTTGTTTAGCATTATAATCAGCGCCTTGAAGGTGAGCAAGACCATTCTTTGATTTTGCCCAGTCATTTCCTTCCATGAAATGAAACAGCTCCGGGCGTCTAGTATACTCGCAATCAAAGAACCCTCCAATCAATTCGTAGAACGGGGTTTGGATGTCCTCTATTTGTGCTGCACTGTCGTTAAACAAATCGTAACGTAGAGACATGTTGTACCGTAAAGTGAGTTCCGGTTCGTAAAGAAACATCGTATCAGGACGTTTCGAAAAATAACGGCCAGTCAAAGATGATCCTGTACGCATTCTAGCATTTATTAACACGTGAATTGGCGGGACTTGTTTCAGTGCAGTCATCCGTGTATCTGCTGTCGACCCAATATCAAATGATGCAGTCATCTCAGTAGTTTGAATTACAGGCATTGCGATATTTGGAGATGTTGTTATCTCAGTAGTTAGCGTTACAGTCATTGCAATATCCGAAGATGCTTTTATTATCGCACCATTTTCGGTATTTGTCATCACAATATCCTGGTAGTACCAGAAGGTCAATATAAACAGTGCGCACATCATTATAAACACTGCGGCCCATTTTATCAATCGCCAACGCATTTCGAGGTTGCAGAAACTGAAATAAAAAAAAAATATATATATATAGCTAGAAACGGCGAGTAATTGATTCAAAAAAACTTTCATTGTAAACGTTATATGACCTCAGCTGAAAGGTCACAAATTCTTGGCCAACAACGAAATTAGCATGCTGCTTATTATTCTTCTATATGTAAAACTTGGTACATTTGCAATCTGACGTCATTTTCAATCTTAAAATGCAATGTTTTTTTTATCTAAGTTTAGGACTACACCCTGATCCATCCGCCAAGATGGCAAGACTGTTTAACTAAAGAATGGCGTTTCATTTGTTTTAAAACAATTCATTAAATAATAGATATGGGTGATATTCGTTGAATGATACTAGTTAGATAAGTTATATCATTTAGCATAAAAAAACAATGCTACAAAAATAATATTTGGTTCTTACTCTTCATTAGTAATAATTGTTTAAAATATTCTGCCTGTCTGTGATTGTTTTTTGAGCAAATAGCACGAATATAGACGCGTTGGGCAAATTCCAGATCGCTCGATGCCATATGCAAATATATGAAGATTCCGACATGATATCAACAATACTTTGGGTTTGGAGATTGCAAACTTGCGTTCAAACTTATATTTTGTAACTAAAGCATTGCATAAACATAGATATATTATGAAATGTATTGATTCCACAAACATGTGAATAAAGTGGACATAAATAAATAGACACAGTTATATCTAGACGTACATGTGCACTGGATGTGATGTTATTGGATGGTTACCTTTTGAGCGGAATGATGATGCTAGTGATATTTTGTGCTCGTAGAGTCCGGCTTCAGAAATGCCAGAATAGCATGTTTACAGACTCCGACGACGCAATCAATGTAACAATTTCGTCGCACGTAGAGTGACGTGAAACGCCATGCGAGCATAATACTACCACACTACTAATAACCTCTACAAGTATTTGAACATAAAAAAGTTACAATCAATTTGCTCACTGTCGAACAGCTTGTCCCGTTAAAGTGTTGACGTGCCGAGCCCACCGTTAGACCCGAAACCACGCCCACTTTTAAAGCTATGACAACATCAGCAATGCCGACAGAACATTAGCAAACAAATTAGTATTAGGGCGGTGGTGCGGCACATGTGCGACATTCGTGTTGGTAAACTTTGATTCTCCCCACAACCCAATGCGTTCTTGTAATAACATCACGAGTACGAGTTTTTACCTTTGCGCGACTTATCGCAGGTGTCAATTTAATCTTTTTAACGTGATCGCAAAAACTAGCGTGACTGCGAAAGAAATCCCGACTGGGCGCATCTGCAGGCGACCCCCTGCGTTGGAGTGAAAACCGGAGCGAAATGCTTATATACATTGGACATTTAAATAGACTTGTTTTTAGTAAACATGGATGCAAGTATCGCCGTTACGCTTAAATAAAGTTAAAGTATCCATCTCTGCGATCGAATCGAATCAATCTTTACAACGTCACGTTTACTTTCACAAACCATACCTCCATGCACAAACCCACTCATGAATAAACAATGACATCATGAATAAATAATAGCAGTCAAATGTCCGAAAATGCGTTCAGTCGGGATTTCTTCAGCGGTCAGCTTAGTTTTCGCGCTCACGCTAAAGGGACTAAAACAATTAATAATTTCTTTTTGTAAAACAAAAAAGAAGTTTCCGACTTTGCCAGTCTACTTACTTACCTGCCATTACAATCAGCACATTTTAGGTTTCATAGAACAGCACTCAGATGCTGAGAATTCTAATGAATATTGTGGTAATGACTTCTTCCTAGACTGGCACAGTTTGGCGATTTATTTTCATTTAAATTTAAAATTAAATAAAAAAAATAGCGAAATGAATGTGTTAACGCGAAATCCCCTGTAACCGCGAAATCACCCAGACTGGACGTGTTTACCGCGCCCACCGTGGTGAAAGCAGGAACTAGTGTGTTTTCATACTAGTTTTTAGCAAAATAACAGACAAGAACGTTATCCAATCAGAGTCATTTTACCTTTAAACTATATCGAATTACTATTTATAACGTTCCGTACAAATTATTCTAATGGAGAGAAGTAGCCTGTGTGTAGTTTTATCTCGTCTGGGTTACAATTAAGCGCGATCTGCACAGAAGACAATAATTGATGATTTTACAGACGGCCACGACGTTTGCGTTCTTCCATACAGGAGGTTATCTCCCAAGCGGCCTTCTGAATATGCCCTATTTAGTTCTGCATAAGGGCATATGCCAAAAGCGAAGACCTGGAAATGTCCCAGGAGCGCTGACAAGATAAACTTGTCTGCACAAATCTGCAGCCGAGACTACTCTATCGCTTATGTGCAGGGTGGCCTGCGGCCGTCCGGGCTGGATCAACAATCAAAGTCTGACACGCAATGATGGGACCCACCCTAAAAAGACCTTCCTCAATTGATTGCAGGTCTCTCAGGTAATAATTGATAAAGACGTTTTGCATTCTCCAGAAGCCAGCCGTGAGCACGTGATCGAGGGGGCACCTGACACAAAAGCATGAACCTCACGCTCTCGTACTTGGTGCCAATAGACCGTAAACCTCAAACAGTGTCGAAGTAATCCACCTAGAAATGGAAGTCAGGGAGGCTGGTCTACCCTGCTCACCCTGGCCATAACACATAAACATGTGCTTGTGGCTTTGCCTCGACCCCCTAGTACATCGTTCATAGCAACTCAAAGCTCAAACCGGGCAAGAAGCAACTCTCCTGTTCCTCCGGGCCGACAATAATGGCCAAATGGGGGATGACGATCGGCTGTAGATCATGCCCTAAGATTTGAATCTTTGCGAGAAACCCGATTTGTGTCTTTAGCACAACTTGATTGTTCATAAAGGCGGTACAACCGTACGAAAAGAACAAGACCCCTAACTCAAAACGAAGCCTACCTGTGGCGAGAGTAGGAATACTGTTTTCCATGTCAAATATTTCAGTGGTACTGCTATGTTGGTAAATTCTGATTACAACCACTGCAGTCGCCTCGAAAAACGAGGAGACAAAAACGGCGGCGAGCCTCTGGTGCTGTCATTACATCTATCCATTTCTAAATACACTGGTAAAGCATAAAACACAGTTGGAAAAGATGGCGCAGAAAAAACCAACGACGTGGTTAACATGTTGCCGGGATTTATTTTCTGTGTTGTGAAAAAATTGACACAGGGATAAAAATAGGAAAAGCTTATCCTACCAGCCAA